CCCCGGCCGCCCGCCCCCGCCCAGCCGCTGCTGCTAGGCAACCGGCAGGCCCCGCCCCCGCTCTGCCCTCCCCATTGGTGGGTTCCGGAGACGGGGGAAGGGGGCGGGAACGAGGGGGCAGGGCTTGTGGGCCGGCGCCAAGCAACGATTGGCCAGCGGCGCTGTCGATCCTGGGGGAGGAGGCGGAGGCGCGACGCGGGCTGGGGCCCTGGGAACAGCCTTGGGGGCCCGGGCGACAGCCGGGCTGGGGGCGGGGAGGCGGGGGCGGGGTGGCGCAGGAAGAAAGGAGCAGAAGGTGGCGGGGGACGAAGGACGCCGGCCGCGAACGCGCGAGGGGGCGACACTCCGCAAAGTGGCGAGTCGTGGCGGCCGGGTGCTGGGCGCCTCTCCCCCGAGGGCGGCTCGGGTCAGGGACCCGCGCTGGGCAGGGAGGGTCCCTGGCGCTCGGACGCCTGCTTGGCGAAGGACGGTGAGAGGCCGGCGAGCTGTCCCGGGGGTCTGGCCACGACCCGGCACTTTCAGAGGTAGGTCTGCTGGGCGACCACGACCCCGGCCAACCCTTCCCAGGAGGGAGGCTAGACTTCGGGGGAGTAAGGACCTTGGGGGGACCCCCGGGGACGGAGGACCCTGGAGAGGGGTGGACCCTGAGGGAGGACCCTGGGAGGGGTGCATCTTGAGGTGAGTGCTTGGGGCTAGAATGCTGGAGAGGGGTGGGCCCTGGGGAAGGAGGGTTGCGGAAGAGGACTCAAGAGGACTCGGGAGGGAGGATTTGGGGGAAGATTCTGGAGGGGGCAGCCATCAAGCAGGGTTTGGGTGGGGAGTGGGGAGAGAATCCTGTGGGGACGGAAACTCAGGGACAGAGAGGATCCTCCTGGTGGCAGAAGATCCTCCTTGGGGGGAGTTTCCTTGGGGAGGGAGGATTCCAAGGGAGGGCGCGGCAGGAAGGACCCTGTTGTGTGGGAAAACCGGGGGGAGGGGGAACGTTCCTCGGTGGATCAAGGGGTCGGAGCTGCTTGGGTTCTGAAGGCGATTTCTGGGAGGTTCTGCCGAGAAAGCTGATCAAGTTGGCACACAGGGTTCCCAGTACAATTCCCTTGAAAAAAATACTTAAATAAATTATGCTAACATAGAGGAATTACTTGCTTTACATTGTAAAACCCCAGATCCGAGCGTTTCTCTTTAACTGGACCTGACACTTGCCAGCACCCCATCCCTGGACTGCCATCTTTTCAAGTGCAAGTGCTCAGAGAGATGGGCCCACAAGACGCCTGTCGGCCCAGCAGACAGCAGGGACTGGCAAGGGTTTCCTCCGCAGGGTTGGTGCCCCACGTGGACCGCTCTGCTTCACAAGGATGCAAAGAAAAGGGAAGCGATATTCAGGAAGCACTTGGTGCCCCCTCCTAATCTGGAGCCTTCGTTCACAGACGTGTCCTTTTTGGTTTAATTTCCTCCCTGCTACCAGCACTGGTCTCCTCCATTTTATTGCCTGCAGTCTTTTAAGGTAGAACCCGGTGTCCGTCATTTCTGGGATTCTTTTGGTTGCAAGTGACAGAAAGCTAGCTCAAACTGGCTCTTACAGTGAGGGCATTGCTGGCTCACGTGACAGAAGGCAGGCCTTCTGCTTCCTCATCCCGCTCCCTTTCCTCAGGGCCAGTGCAGCGCTCGCTTCCATCCTCCTGGCCTAGGACTGAGGTCTGTTAACCTGACTGGGGCCACAGGCCAACGTGGAGCTAGGTGGGGGCTACAGAAGAGCTGCTGCTCGCCCAAAGGGAAGTGGAGTGGCCGAGACCTGGAGACTGGCAGGTGGAGGCTGGCCAGCAACAACCAGGGTCTCACCCCTCTGGGAGGGCAACTAGTCGAGGGAGAATTCCCCTGGGCTGCCTGCTCCCATCAGCTAAGAGACGGCAGAGGGAGGAGAGGGGTCCCTCCAGAAAGGCTTCCGTGGTTGAGCCCCGCCCCACCCTCTAGAAGATTCTGTGCACCAACACGCCCAACAGAACGCTCACATTTGGTAGCAGCTGCGGCAGGAGGCCCACCCAGGGGCTGGCTTGCCGACCAGGTGGGCTCATTGCTCTGCAGCCTCTACCTGGCAGCCGGGCAGGAGGTGAACAGCTGGGAGGGAAGCCATCAAGCAGCACAGAGCACCTGCGGCTGTGAAAGTAAGTGCATGGAGCCGCGTCGCCCTGGGAAACGCACGAGGCTGATGGAGGTACAGAGCAGGACTGGCGAGGGGTTGGCACCTGGGCCGGAGAACCACGGTGAGAAGGTCAGCGCCTGGCCTGCAGCCGCCCCCAGCCCCCAGTCTGCTGAGGTGTCCCTTTGACTGCGAGAGGAGGTCTGAGCTCCAGGTCTGGATCTCTTACTTAGGTGGCGGCAGTGTCTGGGTGGGGCTGAGGCCCACGGGTGAGGACCTCGGGCCCGAGAACTGCCCAGGGCCAGGCAGTGGGCTGGACGCTGAGTCAGGAGGGTCTGCTGTCCCAGCACCTCTACCAGCCATGCTTCATTCCTTCTCCCCTTGACTCAGTTTGTTGGGGTGAGCAGAGGATCGAGTGACTTGCCTGGAGGTTGACTGTCAGTGCAGCTGGGAAATCACTGCCTAGGCTTGGGGTCTGGCCCACTCCTCTGCACAACCAGGAAGAGCAGCCACTGTCACGATGAAGCAGGGAAGAGCAAGAGGACCAGTGCTGGCCCAGACGGTTGGCCCCAGCACCCCAGGCCCACTGCCTTCGCCCGGACGTGGCCGTTCTTCCTGCACCGTTTGGGGGGCAGGGAGAGGCTGTCTATAAATAAGCAGCTCATCCACAGTCACTGAGAAAGCAGACGGGCTGGAATCCGCCAGGTGCGAGCTCCCCGTCATCTCTGACTGCCGGTCTCATCTCCACGGTCTCAGCGACCAGGGAGGCATGTAGCCATGGCGATCTCCAGCACCCCAGCTCTGACCAGTGACCAGAGGGCCCGCTGCCCTGTGCACCGGCCACGGGGCCTCGCCCATGAGGGTGCTGAGCTGGGGTCCAAGGCAAGGGTCCAACCACGTGGTGCTGCCGACACTGACCCCAGGTCAGCCGACCCCAGCACGGGTGGCCCCGGGGGAAAGGTTGTAAGCAGGGAGACTCAGTGCATCTCTTCATCAGCTTATTTTTAGTCGAGTTATGTAAGTGGCTTCATCTCAGCGTCACGTAGGGAGGGGGGTCTCAAGATTTAATTACAGGATGACAGCCTCTGCTTTTCAGGCAAGCTGTTCTGCTGGCAAGGCAGGCACGAGGACTTGTGAATTTTTGCTAAACAGAAGGGGCCCTTTCTGAGGGGACCACAGAACTCTGAAGGGTTTCACCACCATCTCTCTCTGACCAGCCCAACCCGGTTTCTGCTGAACTTGGCCTAAGGGGGTGGCGATGTGTGGCTCATATCACACTTGTCAAGGGAGCTGCTGCTTACCCCCGCCCCCAATCCTGGCAGCCTCCCCGTCTCTCTAAGAGAAGGATCCGCCCCGTCAGAACTCCTTCCTTTTCTCCTTCCTGGATTAAATCCCCTGTAGTCAGTAACCAGAAAGTTCCAGCACAAGAGAGTGCGGAGGCCTGGGCGTTGTCAGGACGGGCATCGGAGCGGGTCTCACCTCTCCATCCTCTCTGGCCTTTATTGCGTCCTCCCCCCACGCCAGGTGCTCTGGCGACGGGACCAGGCAGGGTCACTGGGCACAACTGTCCACATTGTGTCCAGAGTTTTGTCTTTTCAGTCCTCAGCCTACATTCTTCACACTGTCAGTATCGTCAGCAAGGATGCATGGTGGGTCTGAAGCTGGAAGGTCCGGGACTCCTGGAGGCCTCTGTCCTGCCAACGGGAAGGTCACCCCAGAGGCCTCCAGCACACTGCGGCTTTGTCTAGCAGGGGAGGCAGGGCACGTCTCCTACCACCGGGTGAGGCCTGGCATCTAGCCCGGGACTGTGGCTGGGGGCGTGGGCACGGACCAGAGGAGCACAGGCAGCCAGGGGCTCGGACGCCTGCAGCACAGGGGTACCCATCCCGCACTGGCGTCAGAGGAGGAGCGAGGCGTGAATGGCAGGAGAAGCACTGGGAACCGGACCCGGCACGTGGCGAGCCCTCAGTGTGCCTTAGAGATGGGCACCGTCAGCAGCTATACGGGACCTTCCGAGGGCACCCAAGTGCCCATGGAAAGGCCCGCGAGCAGCTGCCCTTTACAGGGCGAGGCCTGCCGGAGACTGCCAGCCCCGGCGTGGGTGCGCATTGGTGACGGGCAGACAGCAGCGGCTGGGGAGACACTGCACCCCTCAGCTGCGTGAGCCACAGTGATGGGCGTGGCGTGGACGCGCTGAGGAGGGCACCGAACCCCATCACATCCCAGCAGAGGGGCGGTCTGCAGACCCTGCCCAGCGCTCCTGCAGACTGTCGTGCAAACCAGGGGAGTCCGAGAGACACTCCCCGCCAAGAGGAGCTGAGGGGGACGTGATGACTGGATGTCCTGTGGGACCCGGGACGGGTCCTGGAGCAGTAAAAAGACACTGGGCAAAAGCTAAGGAAACCTTAATAAAGTCCAGGTTTTAGTTGAGTCCACGTTGGTTTGTTAATTGTAGCAAACGCATCACAGTGATGTAAGGCGTTGACAGCAGGGGAAACTGGGTGTGGGCTGTCTCTGCAGTAACTGTGTAAATCCAGACAGTCCTAAAACGTAAAGCTTGTGGAAGGCGGGGCCCCCATGACCTTGGCACAAGCCTCTGTTTGGGCCTCGGAATCCGGAGTCTCTGGGGTCAACTGGTGGAGCAGTGCCCTGTCCCCACGGAGCACCCGGGCCAGCTCTGCCACCTGCCACATGCTTCCATGCATGAGGCCAGCGTGGGGGACACGGGCCCGGCTGACACCTGCTCTCCTGCCACCCCAGATGTGGCCCTGACCCTC